CTGTCTTTTAATCCATGAGTCTACTGGAAGTCCTAATTGATCCCAAAAGGTCCTGGGGGTCTTTGGGGGTCTGTGAGGTCCCAGGAGGCTCTGTGGGGGGCCCAGAGGTCTCTGGGATGTCCAAGAGGGTTCTGGGAGTCCCTGGGGATTTAGAGGGGTTGTGCAGAGGTCCTGAGGGATCCCTGAAGGTCTGGGGGATATCAGGGGGATCTGGGAGGGTCCCTGCTTGGTTCCAGTGAGTTCTGGAAGGGTCCTGCGGGGTTCTACTGGGCCCTGGGGGCTCCTGGGAGGCTCAGCAGGGGTTTCTGCGAGTCTGGGTGGTCCCAGAGGGTCCTGGTTCATCTCAAGGCATCCTGGGGAGGTCTCTGGCTGATGTCCCCAGAGGTTCTGCAGGGGGGCCCCAGGAGGTCTATGGAGGATGTCCCAAAGGGTCCTAAATAGTCCCTGGGGGTCTGGGATGTCCCAGTGGGTTCTGGGGGCGTCTAGTTGGCCCCGGGGGCTCTGTAGGAAGTCCCTGGAGGTCTCAAGGGTTCCTGTGGTGTCCCAGTGGATCCTGGGGGGTCCCAGAGGGGTCTGGAGGGTCCTGCAGTGTCCCAGTGGGTCTTGGGGGATCCCTGAGGGTCATGGAGAGTCCCAGGGAGTTCTGGGGAGTCCCTGAGGGTCCGGGAGAGAGGTCAGAGTGGGGGACGGGGGCGCCGGGGGACGATGACCCGGCGAATGGTGCGGCGTTCGGACACGTTGCGCTTGACCTTGGCAGAGGCAGGGGTGGGGCGGGCGAGTGAGGGGCTGGACTGGGCCCGAGGCAGCTCAGCAGGGGGTGGGGGGGGCTCCAACCAGTCCTCCCAGCCCCCGGGCCCCACTGCACCCCCTTCCAGCCGCGCCTCCAGCACCCGCACGTAGGTCTCCAGCCGGCGCCGCTGTAGGGGGAACGGTGGGGGTGAGGGCCAGGCTGAGCGGGGGACCCCCAGTGCCCCCAATACTCCCTGGTACCTTCTCATAGCCCCCTGGTACTGCCCGATGTCCCCTGATACTCCTTGATATCCCAAGAGGCCCCCTAGTGGCTCAGTTCAAGTCCCTGAGGCCCTTTGGGTGGGGAAATACCCCCACCTGGGGCTGTCTGGGCCTAATCAGGCTCCCAGCACCCCTTGTCCACTACCCTTCCCAACACTGGCTGGTGGTGAACGTGTGGGCATCTGACCTCTAACCTCTCACCCTCAAAAGTCCCAGGCATATCCCTCCTGACTGCACCCCTGACCTGGGACCCCTTCTCCCCCCCAGATAAAAATTTCCTAGGCACTCCCCTCCTGCCCTTATGTGTGACCCATGACCCCTCACACCCCCCCTGCAAATATCCCAAGTCCCCCCCACATCCAATCTGACCCGAGGCTGAAAACTGTCCCCCAGATTGCTCCAGGGCAATTGCCAGGTACCCCCTCCCGGGGCTTTGCTTATGGGATAGATCCACCCCTTTGCCCCCACCCAAGCTTGGGCAGAACGCCACCTAGTGCCTGCCCTGGGAGTCAGGGGGTCACCTCATACAGCAGGTAGTCCTTGCGCAGCCGGTAGTCATCCAGGCCCCTGCTCCGGCTCCGCGGCTCGGGCAGACTCCGTTGCAGCTCGCCAAGCTCAGCCACAGCCTGGGCCAGCCATGCCTCGTGGGCCCGCAGCTGCTCCTCCTGGCGGGGAGCAGGAAAGGAGGGCGGTTGTGTGTTGGGGGAACAGGTCCCCAGGCCTACCCATGTGTGCACCAGGCCCCGACCACTGTAGACCAAGCCACAGCCACATCTGTTCTAAGCCCCGCCCACTGCAGCCCAGGCCCTGCCCACTACAGCCAAAGCCTTTCCCACACCTGCCCCAAGAAAGGTTGGCTACAGCTGAGCCTCCACCCACTGCAGCCCAGGCCATGCTCGCACCCAAACCAGGCTCCTCCCTTGCCAGCCAAAGCCTTGCCCACCCCTGCCCAGGCCCTGCCCCCTTCCAGCCTCAGGCCCTTCCCACTGCCATGCAGACCCTGCCC